TTTTTTTTTTTTTTTTTGGTTCTTCCCGTGAGAGTACCATAAAGAAATAGAGTGGGACCCAGGCTCGGTAAAACTCGGAGCGCAGTGAAAATCAGGGTCGGCAAAAACAGACTTGGAGGTACTGGTGGTTTAATTCTTCTTCATTTACTATGTGTCCAAGATACAATACCTCAGACTTAGCAAATTATGATTTCTTAGGATTTAACTTGTAGTTTCCTTCTCTTAATTTTTATAGAACCTTTCACAAGTGTTTCCCGTGGTCTTCCAACGTCTTGCTATAGACAAGGATATCGTCGAGATACACTACAACAAATTGATCTAGCCATTGTCAAAACAATTAATTCATTGACCTTTGAAAAGTCGCGGGGGAATTAGTCATTCTAAAAGGCATCACCACAAACTTGTAGTGTCCATACCTGGTCCGAAAGGCATAACCCCAGACTTTTATGTTGATCCTCAGGTGCCACATCGATCTGATGGTACCCTGACTTCATATCAATCTTGATGAAGTATTTACATCCTTGCAACTGATCAAGTAAGTCATCAATACGAGGAAGGGGTTCCACATTACGAAATTTAATCCTCGATAGTCAATACAAAGCCTAAGTTCTCCTTCCTTTTTTAACAGGAATAGGACAGGGGAACCATAGGGAGAGGAACTTTGTCGAATCCATCCTTTCTCCGTAAGTTCTTGCAGTTACTTTTCAACTCTTCTAATTCCTTCGGAAACATTCGATAGATTGGTCCTTTGAGAATCTTACTTTTGGGAATGATTTCAATTGTGTGTTTTATAACACGACCAGGTACTCTTGTTGGTTCAGTCTGCAAGTCCTTATATTCATCGAGTAGTTTGTCGATAGGAGGAGGATAGGACGAAAAACACTCATCGACTCGTCTGGTGAGTACCATCATTACGTCTTGTGCCAACTTCTTTTTTGTGGCCATACTTCGGAAAGCAAGTAGACTCATACAACAGAAGACAGTGATGAGCCAGAACCAGACTTGTGAAACAATTTCATAGACTGTAGGTTGGAATTTTCATCCCTTAATTTAACAATTTTATCCTTAAACTTGACTTTTGGGTCGGCCTCCTCGTGCCAATCCATTCCCAGAATCATGTTAAAGAGAATATTTTTTTCTATAAGGAAGGTGGCATCGTGTAAGATTTTTTCCTCTTCCTTCGTTCTGAAATAACATTTGACACGATCACAAAACTGAGAGACATTGATCGTGCTCTTATCAGCAAGCAAAGACATGATAGGTCTAGACAGATCTTGCACCCTCATTCCCAAACACAACTTTCAAATTGCCTTTTCTGAGACATAGGACCGTGTCGAACCGGATGCAGAGATGTAGACGACGGGAGGGGGGGAAAGTCGATAAAATAGACAAACCTGACATCCGAGCGACAAAAAAACATTGTCACGCCATCGACCTTATCACATGGGATTTTGCCTATTACGACCCGTCACTGAACTTATATCCTCGCAGTGCAAGAAGAAAAATTTACAATCTCGCGAAGGTGTGCGACCGCAACAGTACTTACAGGAACGATGGGATCGCATGGTACAAACAAGTGTTCTACGATCACGGGTTTGTATCTGCCAATGTGACACACAAATGCAGCGCAACCGTTGCATGTGTTGTTGTATGCTCTCGCTAAGGGCGACAATACAAGAAAACAAAACAAACTACCAACTTCAACATCATGGACAGTGTACTCCGCCGAGCAAATGAAAAACGCAACAGCTTCATTCTCTTACGACGTTGTTGCGCCCGTTGACAGTAGATTGTTAATGAGTCGTTGCTTACACGGTAGTGGAATTTTTTGCCCATGCAATTTTCTGTGAATTGAAGTTGGACTGGACTTTTTTTTTGTCATTGACTGTTTGATTTTATTTTTCTTCTTAACGAGGCAGGTCTCTTTTAGTATGCACCGCAGGACATTGTCAGTACCTATTAGGTAGCTACATGTTCACCATCATTTCTCAACAAGCGATTTCGTTTTTTTTGTAGTGTAGATCATGTATCATATGTCTCCAACTTTTAGAGAGATTCATAGATAGATAGATAGATAGAGAGAGAGAGAGAGAGGGATAGAGATGGATAGATAGATAGAGATAGATAGATAGATAGATAGATAGAGAGAGAGAGAGAGAGAGAGAGAGAGAGAGAGAGAGAGAGGGAGAGAGAGAGTTCAGGGGAACACCGAGGTATTCTCTCTATGCAAACAATGTTAAAAAGAAGGATTTTCTTAACGGTGCCTAAACATAATTTGGATTTGTATATACTTGTTCACCCTTTATTTTCAGATAGTACCATGTAAATGTAACATTTAGACAACCACGTCGGGGGTGGGGGGGCGGGGAGGTTGCGGGGATAACATATCACTTCGGTATGAATTAAATACATGTGAGAAAACATAAGAATAGCAGACAAACTTGTGCAGTAATAGACTACCCCGCATAAGTATTGCCAGTCATATGTCTTTTTGACTACGGTGTTCCATATGTTTTGGTAATCTTAGTGCATTAGCCGAAAAAAAAAAAAAAAATCCCATGATTTTCTACAGTGAAAAATAGTAAATGTTAATCAATATGATTGAAAAGTATGATAAAACCCGTCATCAAGTCTTTCGTACCTTCACACAATGGCAATGAAATTGTAACACCCCCCAAATTTTGTGAGAAAGCGATGTAAAATTTGTGGTTAAGAGGACAACAAAATGCAAAGAAACATGGGGTACCTCCCGAAAATTGAGTAAACAAAACATCAAAAGTCACAAAAAT